TACAGCTGCAGGAGCTGGGGGGCAAGGAGGTGGAAGAAGTCACAGCCAGCAACAATGATAGTGCATGGTGAGCACCCCACAGCTGCCACTCCAACACCCCCAGCCTCTCCCTAGGGACTCAGGGTCACAAATCCTCTTGTTGCCTCTCCTTCCCAGAGCTCTTCCCGGTGCCATGCTGGAGGGTCCCCCCAAGCCCACTGAGGGGTCCTCCCGACTCTCAGCTGCCTCAGCACCCCCAGCCCCCTGTGGCCCCGAGTCCCCCTCCTGCATGTGTTCTACAAGGGTGGGAAGGTGGTGGAAGGCCCACAGGGGTCCCCACAGCTGCGGGGTCCCCTCCTGGAGCTGGGGACATCGATGTGGGACATTCAGGCTCCTACCAGTGTGTGGCCACCAACCAGCTGGGCGGGCACCAGGCACTCAGCCCAGAGGTGACCCCTCGCTCAATTTCAGTCACACATGGGAATCACATGCGGTTGTTCAGGACCCCCAGGGTTTAGGCTGACCCCAATGTGTCACCCTCTGTCCCCAGCAGTGGCTGTGAATGTCAGTAGGACCCTCCTGTTCCTGCTCCTGCTCCTGGCTGTCATCAAGGGCTGGTACTGGTGGCACCACCGAGGTGGGTTAACAGTGGCTGGGGATGAGGGTCCTGGAGTGAAGGGAAGCCCTCAGAGTGACAGCAGAGATCAGAGATCCAGTGCAAATCAGGGCTGCAGTGAGGATTTGGAGGTCCCGTGGGTGGCTGGAGTTGCTCTAGTGCCAGGAAGGTTCAGGGTGTTATAAATGAAAATTGATCTAGCCAAACTAAAAGTAAAAATAAAGTTTTTATTTTTGCGATCAAATTCTATCTTAGCCAGCCACAAGGAAAGAACAGTGCCATGCTTGGGGTCGAGCCTGGGATCGGTGCTGGGTGTGAAACAAAGAAGACACCTCAGCAGAGGGTCCCTCTATGCCCACACAGCACCTTCCTGGTACGAGTGGTTTTTATAGGGAAAATTCTGCCCAAGGCCGAGATTTCGGCAATCAGTCCTTTCTATTCAGAGTCCCACATATTGATGAAATTTATTTTCTTGGAGTTGGGGTGGAACAATTCAGTGTCCGGTGAATCCCCATGATGTAGTTACAGGAGTCCGGCATTCACATATATCAGCCTGGAGGATTTCCTTGGTATCAATCTAGGGTCCTTGACTCCATGATCAGCACCTGGGTGTCCCTGTATGCTGAGATATGGCCCATCTGCTGAGGGGCCACATATATTTACTTGTAAATGAGGTTTCAACATAGACTAAGTTTCATCTATGTGGGGGAGGAAGAGGGGGAGAC